TTATTATTATTATTATTATTATTATTATTATTATTATTATTATTATTATTATTATATAAGACGTAAAATTTAAATTAATAACCGGAAAATTAAATGTTTTAGAATGTAATCCTTCGCTGTATATAACCTTATATGTATATATAGCTGTCCCATTTCTGTAGTCTTTTAAGAACAATGCTGTTATTGTTAGTCATTTCTATATTCTATGGGTTTGGACAGGATCGTGTTTTGGTCTTTCCCCAGCTGCACCCCGTTGCGTTTTAGTGCGTGTATTCCACGCGCCGGGTTATTACTTCGCTAAGCTTGCGATCTCGACGAACTCAAGGCAAAATAGAGGGTCTGTGGTCAGTCTAGGCGCACTCTACTTCCTCTTATAGAACGTTTAGCGTGAATAGAAAAAACAAACACAAGCGGAAAAAATGAACCCGCGTGCATAAAACTTTATAAATCTATAGTCCATGTTTCACAAGTCCTGTCCACTGTCAAAGAGTGAGATTATTGCATCATTTGTCCACCAAGATCAACTACCTACTCCCATAGGAGTATTTTAACCAATCAAAACGTTTCATTTGTCGTTGCACGTGAAAATCAAGATGGACTATGAACTCGACGTGACTTCGCGTCTTGGCGAAACACAAATAAAGTTAGGCAATAGGCGATACATTTCGTCTTTTGTTTTCACGTTTGAACTGGTTGGATAGAATCAACTTATCATGGACGGCGAAGAAGAGAGAAATGGCAACGGCGCCGAGGCATTTGAAGAAACCGATCTCAATTTGGCTTACCGGTTTCTGGATTCACTTCCAAACGATGTTCATGTGTTAAATAACCTGCCTGATCCGCTGAAGATCATAAGGATAAATCTAGCTGGAAACCACATACCCGTGCTTCCTGACTCTATAGGGATGTTTCTTAACCTTAGAGAAATGGACATCTCAGCAAATGGCTTGGCTTACATAACTCCTCGAATCGGCGAACTGCGACATCTGAGAACCTTAATCGCAAAGAACAACAATCTGGTGGACTTGCCGAAAGAGTTTGCTCGACTGGTAGCACTAGAGAATCTCAACTTGAGTGGCAATGGATTCGAGTCATTTATGCCGCAAATGTTTGAACTAGTCTCTCTGAAAACTCTGTTCTTTGGAGGCAATAGGGTCGATGTAATTCCACCAGATATCCAGTCGCTACAAAGGTGGGTATTTTATGTTAACTGTAAGCGTATAAGCTTACCTCGTGTAAATTGGCTTTGTCGGACAAAATGTGCTACAATTTTCGCGAATCATTACATGGAAAAGATCAACAGGAAATTTGCTATTCGTGTTTTTTTCTTTTTTCTTTCGAAACAATCACTTAAGCTTATTTCTGTTAATATCGTGCCGTACGAAAAATATTTTCTTAGCGTGCGTTCTCATTATCTTGCAGATGCTTAGTCATGCAACCATTATTGTTTGAAATGAATCTCTTTATCTCAAAATCTAACGTTAATTTCGCTGACATGTGAAAGTTTGTAAGAGGAAAAGTGCTTAGACCACGTTAAAGTAGAGTGCCTGCTTGACATTTTTATGACCCAATGATTTACACTGTAAAAAACGCTTAGTCACAAGTAAGACTTCCATAAGCTTACATTCGAGAATGATTAATTCCAATATATTTTGTGCCAGTGATATATTGGCGGACTACCCAGAAGTTCTTTTCAATTTTTTTCAATATGATGTGAACAAAGTGTTATTTCTTTAACATTGGTACATGTATAAAAGTGATATTGAGTCAGCCGGTATTAGATATTAATCGTAGCTAGAACAAAATNGGAAATATTTCAATTTCCTACAGTGCGACCCGGCCCATAATCAGCCTCTGGTCACATGGGTATCCAATTACAACAAGTGTAATTCGGTACCTACACCATTTGCATGTCAATTATGCATGCTTTAATGGCTTTATTAGGAATGTTTACTTCAGTTTCTAAAGCCTGTGGAAAGCGCTAACTACCGACTTTTTGGCTCAAAAGATCTCATAATAAGGCCTTTTTTAATTTTGAAATTTTTTATAGATACAACTAATTAGTCGGACTTTGTGTCATACAATTCAGGGAATAAACATGCTTGTAATTTTAAAGCAGCCTCTTGCTGTGCACTCCTCCAATTTTGAAATTATTTGCCCTGTTATTCCCTGAATTGTACTCCACTCGGTCCAGTTTTATTTAACAATTAAATTCCAGGAGCGTGCATTGAATATGATTTGGCTATAATAATTATCTCATATCCAACAAGTCTGAGTGGGTAATAACCTATGATGGCATTATCTAATAATCCAGTTTTTAATGAGAACAATTAGAAAATAGAGCAGTTTTCAATAATTTGAGTGTCATAAATTCAAAACCAAACCAACTGCTTACCAGTTAGACAACTTGGCCAATCTCAAACTGTAGTAAAACCAAAACCAAAACCAAGTAACTGCCTGATTACTTTCGACAGTCAATTGAAAACCGCAAGAAAATACATGCGCTCACTGGGTTAAAATTGTGTTTCTACATGTATGACTCGATAAACACAGAACTAGCACAAGCTGTTGACGTAATGATGGTGCAAGCAAAGAGAATTCACATTTTGATGATCAAAGTTATCAAGTTGTTTTCTTGTTTTCGAGGCAGAATTGTCTAAAATAAATACAAAATGCCCCAAAACCTGTACTCTTTTCATATTGGTAGAGCAGGGTTTAATTGCTTATATAGTCTATACATACCATGATGGCTAAGCCAAAGAAAGCACTTGAATCCAGTTTTTTAGTGATGACTATCTTGTCCACTCAAGCTGGCTTTTATCTTGGGTATTTGTTTGTTTGTTTTCTTGCACATCACATTTACATTGTAAAGATGAAACAGCCTTTTAACTGTGCTTTGAATCTTTTACATTGTAGGTTGGAAATTCTCTATCTTGGTGGAAATGAATTGACATCGGTACCAAGTGAACTGGGCAGCCTGCGCAAGCTTAAAGCTCTAAATCTCTGTGACAACAAAATTGAATCCCTGCCATCTTCACTGGTAAAACTGACACATCTACAGTCTTTGAGTCTTCACAACAACAGACTGACATTGCTTCCTGTTGCACTTATAAAACTGCGAAATCTGGAGGAGTTGAGCCTGCGGGATAATCCTCTTGTTGTACGTTTTGTTCGAGACATGAGCTTCAATCCTCCTTCATTATTAGAACTGAGAGGGCGCTGCATAAAAAATATGGGAATCAAATATGGAACAGAAGACCTTCCCGTACATTTATTGCAGTATCTTAACAGTGCTCACCGTTGCGTGAACCCATGCTGTAAGGGAGTGTACTTTGATGCCCGTGTGAGGCATATCAAATTTGTGGATTTTTGCGGCAAGTATCGACTGCCACTTGAACAGTTCCTTTGTTCGCCGCATGTTGATGAAAGATGGGAAGATTGTTCATCAAGTAGCAGTGAAGATGAAAGTGTTCCTATACCTCGTGAGAGATTGAGAAGGGTTCTACTAGGGTAATAATCTAATATATTTTTATTATAATGCGAATAAGTGTGTAAATGTACTAACATTAAGAATATAATTGTATAGTAGGTAGGAAATTCCAGATTTTTTCTTGTTCACTCAATCATGAAAAATACACTGTACTTCTCCCCTGCATAGCCTTTGCAGAATCAGACATCAGACTGTACCATTGCTTTTTTGTTTTGTTGTTCAAACTAATTAAGGTAATCCTAAATGTAATCTCTGTGAATATCATTGACTTTTTTTCATCACAAATAGCAAGATTCTCTCAGATATGCAGAAACTAGCAATTCCAAAGAGAGTTAGCATGCGAATGCAGATATATTTCTGGCTGTCACTTGTCCCTGCCGAAACAAGTGACAGCCAGAAATACATCTGCATTCACTTGCTAAAAGAGAGCTTGCCTGCCTCTTTTGAGTAAATGTCCTCCTAACTGGCTTATTCGAAACATTGCGGCAAAAAACACTGGCATACATGGAAATAATCAATAAATGAACTTAATAAAAAGGGAAATATTTTGTTACGACCTATTTAAAAGGATCTAACTTAACTGATATGAAAATATTTTTTCATTCATATGAAACAATGGATTGTTTTAGTAGTAGATTAGGATAGAGTATTTTGAAAAACATTCACAAAAACATATAATTTTGGTGAAACAGATCTCTTTGTCACAGTCTACATATTTTATATATTTTTAGAAATGTAAAGGTTATATCCAAAGGCTTGAGATAAGTTATCGGACTTGAGTTAAGGACTTACTGAAAAAGTACATGTTTATGGGATTTGGTAATAGTAGGCATTAAAAAGATATTTACTGCAAGAAGAAAATTAATGAAAATTTAGCTCACCTTCCCTGAATGTAGACATTTAGAGGAAGGATAGATGTTTAACTGTCCTATTTTTAATTGGCTCTAGAATAGTGCTTTTGGTATGTAATGGGTCTTGGACACAGTCACTTAAGGGTGGGAGTGTTAGATTCTGGATCAGATTGTCTCAGTTTGAACCCTGGCTGGGATTACAGTGATGTGTTCTTTCGCAAGACACTTGACTTCCACAGTGCCTCACTCAATCAGGCCAGAAGTATAAAATTAACAGATAATGATAAAAGTTTTTGGTGAAGTGACTTATGATACATGTATATTTGAAAAGGAGGGAGAGGGGTACCTGTGACAGACTGGTATCTTGTTTAGTGGGAGTGGCTACTGGCGATACCTTTCAGGCTTTGAGTTACAGAAACCAGGTCCCAGTTGTTTGAAGGCTGGATAGCGCTATCCACCAGAGAAAGCGCTCTCCAGTGGATAAGTGTTAACAAAACAAACCGGATAGCGTTATCTACCCATCAAACAACCTGGGCCAGAATGCCGGATGTTAAACTAATGTGTTTCCAACCCTCTTACTTATCTTGTCTATTGAAATGTTGAAGAATCTCACTTACATGTAATATTTAATACAACACAACTTCAGGTAAGCTAACTGGCTTTCCTTCCAAAACTTTGACAAGCTGTATTTTGTTTGGTCAAACTATAAATTCCCTCTACTGCCTGACACACTCCACTTGATTTTAGTTGTAAGAAGAAACTAGATGTTATCAAGCTCGTTAGAATTTAAGGGTTATTTAGGACTATGTAGCTGTGGTTTTCAAATACACAGTATGTGGGGAAAAAAGAAGAAAAATCTGTACACGTGGAATACAACTATTGAGTAAGAGCTAGTGATGCCTGGGGAATAAAAATGCTAAGTTAAAATTGCCACTCGCATTGACTTTTATTAAGTCTTCTAAGCTCACCAATAGTAAAACAAAACACCTTTTCAAGGCATAGAAAAACAAACTAATTTTTCAAAGGGGCGACCATTGTTGCTATAACCAAGTCAAACGTTGAATTCTTCGGAACTTTGTATTTTCTCTTTCCCTGGCTTTTTTCTAAAGTCTGCTGGAGTTTTCACTTGAAAACAAGTTTCTCCTGTTTGCGATTTGGATACCAGAACTACGCTTCCCTTTCGTTGCACTTCGTCCTTTACGGCTGGTAAGGCGTTGGCGTTCGAGTCCATGACCTCTCCCTTTTTGCGCTTACTGTATCTTGCTCTGGCAGAGGGGAGGGGTTGGACGGAAGCTTTTGTCGTGGGCTCTGTGTAGAAAGGACTTTCTAGCCGGTTAGTGAGCGACAATTTCTTCCTTGGCGTCGCTTCGTCGTTAGTTTCGGTGGAGATTGCGAGATTGTCATACGCTTCTTGAACCTCGTTGTCGACTGAGCGCGTCCTGGCTCTAGTCTCGATTTGAGGAATATCTTTTCTGACCCGTGGAGGTAGAGAGTACTTTTTCGCTACGGCTGTGTGAGCTTTTGCGAGGTCATTTCCAAGAAGAACACCTTTGTCTATCTTAGATGACGAGGGAGGGTATCGTTGTCTTGGTGACGAAGGTTCCCGTTCAGCATTATCTACATCAGACGAAAATAAATAAGCCAAACCATGGGAATGAAATAGTACCTCATTCAGGGCTGGATCTAGGATTTTTAAAGGGGGAGCTAGTACTTTGGGGTTGAAAAATCAATGAAGCATGCCCCTGAAATGTTGCAATTTGAGAAGTGAAGCCTAATTCAAAGCTGTCATACCAGAAATACTAGCAATATCACAAACTAGAAATTACAATGAGATACATGTCCAGAGTTTTTAGCTTCATTTCTTCCCAAATTTTCAGAACCTTTCTCATTTTTTGCTTCACCACGAGGGGAGTGGCTAGCCACCTAATCCAACCCCCCCTCCCTAAATCCGCCTGTGTAATTTAAGTGGTCAGACCAAGGTTTTATTTGGGTACAAGCATAGGAATCTAGCTCTCGCTAAAGCTACAGGAAGGCAGTGTTGAAGTGTCCTAAATGTGCTATACTTGCTTGGAATTGCTCACCTTCAGATTTGTTTGTGTCACTTGAAGCCGACACCACTCCACTGTCTGCTACCTCAATATGAACACTCCCACTAAGACTATCATCCCTAAGAAACACAAAGGAAAACAAATTACAGGACAAGTCCGTTCCAACTCCATAGTGATTGGCGTTTATTGCTGGCGCTTACCCTATTGATTAGGGTACACCCTTTAACCAGTGCGTGGGTGGAGAGATCGAAACGCTGTGAGAGTACCTTTCGTTCAGGGGCTCTTTTACTCCCGATGGAAAGTTACTGCGATCTGAAATTGGCCCTTTGGCACTCTTGGACTGAAAATCTCAGCACCGGTGATCAAGTACGCTCATGTTACGTCAGAATGACGCCCCAAGGATTCCAGGGGATTTTGAATACTAACCAGTGGTATTGTTTGTTCTCGCAAATAAGATGAACTAGTAGAAAATGGGACAAATTAACATTGCATTCCTTCTCTTTCTGCTTTGAGAGGACTTGAGAAACGTTAAAACGTTACGAGCTAGGTGCTTACCTGTCGCCTCTGATATTCAGTCTGGGAGTAGATTGTGGTATGGTATCAGGCCGTTTAGCGGTCTTTGAGATTCTCCGAATGTTCTCCATTGGTACACCTCGTTTTCTCAAGCGAGTCTCGAGCTGAGTTATTTCCTCTTCTTTCTGAAAGGATCGAAAACCTTTAGTTAGTTTTAGCAAATCTATCTTCTCGCTTTTTTCGTTTATATAGTGAACGGGGGAGGGGTACGCTGGATAAAAACAGCAGAGTTTGAGAGCCGTCAGTCGACATACATAAAGGAAGCCCGGAGGTTACTCCCTTTAATGGCCTATACGGGGAGGCTCTGTCCGAAACTGAAGGTGACCTTATTCAGACTTCGTGTATATAAAAGGATAGGAATTTCACAAGTTGAGGCATATGAAAGGGGTAGGTAAATCTGTCATTTAGTTATTTAAAAGGACCTTTAATTAAAATATTTCAAACATGGCTGTATCATTTAATTTATTATGCATCACATGAAAATGATAAGAAGATTTCTTTTTTTTTTTTTGGTGATGTATTCATAATACGGGCCGGTTGTGAAAGCATGTGAAAGAGGTACCTTTTCTGTCAAAATGGTAAACAAAATGGTAAGGGGTTGGATCTCGGGGCGGAGCCTCCCGATATAAAAAATTTGTAGAGCAATCCCCATACCTCCTGGAAAAGAAGCTTTTATATCTTACCTCAGCTACTAGGTTTTTAAGGTTGGAGTTCTCTGCTGCCAAGGCGATGAATTTGGGACCTCCGATTCCTTTATCTTGGGAAGTTGATGACTCTCCGCTGCTCTGGCTTGACGAGTTAGTTGTCGCCCCACTTGTATTGAGCACGTTTGGATTGCGCTTCACTGCTATAAACTGTGAGCCGGGACCAAAAGATAGATTGTGAATGAAGTTAGATCGCTCTGCGGCTCGGTAATAAGTAGGGCATCTTTCATCCCCCAACCCTTTTCCACCACCTCGCACTCAACCTCGTTCCCAGGGCCTTTTCCCTAGCTTGGGGGCGGGGCTGGGAAAAGGCCCTGGGAACGAGGTTGCCTCGCACTCGGGAAGGGAACGCAATGGAATTTGGAAGTAGTCTCATTCCGTCACGTTTTCACTGTTTTTGATTTGACAAAACACCCTCATTTTTCGTATGAGTGCTACCATAAGCAACGTTTTAGCCATTATTGTAGCTAACAGCATTATTTAATAGGTACCATACTGTGAAGATGATGTGAACTGCGGCGGAATACAAATGAAAGGCAGATCGGACTATCGCACTTGAAATTGCAACTAAAGCAATTACAAATTAAATTCGACTGGATGACCATAACTAAGAGTGGCCCAAGAATGTGAGAAACATTACTTTGTACTTCCATTGCACCCTCTGTTACGGGCGTCTTGCACCCCTCACTGAGAGATCCTCCTACAATTTACTGGCAACTTATTGCTCACCTTAGGGACAAAAACCAAACACAGTGTCACAGTGGTGCAGAAGACAATAAAGAACGCTGTAAGAGCAAACGTGGCATTTTGCGCCTGTTCTATCATCAGTGCCGCAGGAACACCAACAACGCTCAAGATGACAACATTGTACACAGACATCCCAACATAGCGAGAGTCGTTAAGTGCGGGAATGTTAACGTGTCGTGTTTCCCACGCGAGGAAGACACCAAACAGCAGGAGGAGGCCTTTGGTGGCAAACAGAACGCCAAACCAGATCGTCTTATGCTGGCAGTCGCAGTATTCCCATTGAGGCAATGTGTCAAACTCGACTCCGTGCTGTAAAAGATCATCAGGATAAAGAGGAGTTTAATGTAAGTGGGGATCTGATCATCTAGGACCAGTAGCAAGAAGGGAAACGTACCAAAGGAAGTAAGGGAGTGAGTGAGTGAGTGAGTGAGTGAGTGAGTGAGTGATTCATTCATTCATTCATTCATTCATTCCTTCCTTCAGTCAGTCAGTCGGTCAGTCAGTCAGTCAGTCAATCAGTCAATCAGTCAATCAGTCAGTCAATCAGTCAGTCAGTCAGTCAGTCAATCAGTCAGTCAGTCAGTCAGTCGGTCTTAAGCCGTTCTGAAAATCCAACTCGATCTTGTTTTACCTCAATGGTCCCGTCTTGAAGCTTTCTTATAAGCGAGTCGACTCCCGTCCATACACTGAGAGTCAAGATATCAACCAACAGAAGCGCACCAACAAAGAGAAAAAGGCTGCCATCTTCAATAACCTATAGCAATTACAAATAAAGAAAAAAAAACATTCATAAAGTTCAGTGCGAGCTAGACTAGGGTGTTCCTTTGCTTAGATATCTTCGCAATACGGACAAACGATTCAGATCTAACCTTTTTTCGTAGTTTACGGTTGGTAAAGATGACGTACACCCTCCATATCTTAGCAAACATGGCGCCAAACGCCGTGGTGAATCCAAGAGAAGCGAGCCATATTCTCGCCTGGCAATTAGCAGAGTATCGACCGGGTGATACCAGGTTACCATCCAATCCAAACAGAAATACTGATAAGTACATGGTTATGCATCCTATAACAATGGTGTTATTCAAGCGCGGGCTGGACATCTGAATGTATCTGTCAAGGAAAGTGAAAATGTGCAACTGAACTGCAATAATTTCCTTAATTGTCCAAGGTAAGGTAAATGTATTTACTGTTTTGGCAGTTAAGTCGGGTGCTGGAACTTTTGTTAGAGCTAAATTAAACTGGAAAGTGCTCGTCAAGTCCCGTGTTCACGGTTAGCTAAACGGCGTGTCACAAGTCAGGAGCTTTAATCCGCCCGACAGTCTATCGGTCGGCTAGGTGGTCTCTCGATCGGTCGGTCAGATCAGTCATTCATTCAGCTGTAAGTCAGACGTTTCTGCACAAACGCGGTCAGTCAGTGAGTAAGTCATCTAGTTACTCAGTTACTCAGTCAGTGAGTCGGTCTGTCGGTCGATCAGTCGCGGGCAGTCAGTCAGTTTATCTGTCAGTCGGTCAGTCGGTCAGTTAGTAAGTTATTCAGACAGTCATTTGGCCAGATCATTCATCCAGTCGGTCAGTCGGACAGTCAGTCAGTCATTCAGTCAGTTTTCAGGATCATCTTTATTTACAAACATGTTTTCGCATTTATTACGATAGTGCTCTTCCGGCGAGAGTGGTCTATAAATGCCAATACTGAAGAAATTAAAGCTATCCGTCTACATTAGAACTATAAGGTCGCCATTATCTCTGACTCAGTCTGATAATCCTTCTTTTGTAACCTTTTTTCCACGACACCCGGGACTAAGAACAAAGCAGTAAAATAGTTTACCTGTAATTCCGAAGCTTGATGTTAAAAACCAAAAAACAAACTGCCAGGATAATACAAAGGACAGTGATGACACACACGACTCCATACAGAACTGAAGATATGGTCATCAATTGCAAGACGAGCTTTGTACGATCCGACGGCGGACCACTGCCTTGGAAAGAACGAAAGAGAAATTATTGCCACAAAAATAAACTTCGTGCCCGAAGACGATGCAGCCAGATTGACGCAAATCTAACGCGAACGTCACTAGCAGATCTCGAGTATGCTTAACTCTTTGAAGAGTGAGCAAGCATTCTAAGAATTCTTACGTTTTGCAAAATCTTAATCTTACCTTGCCAAACAAAGTTGGATTCCTTCACATCGAGTATACTATCATTTTGATGCAGATACAAAGAGACCGTGATTTCTTCTTCATCTGAAGTAATAAAAGAAAATAGGATTATAATGTAGGGATGCAGGACTCATGCAGAGCTGTTCTCATTCTTGTCAGTAGGCGTCAATTTAGACAGTAACTCCAAACAAGAGTTCAACGTACGTAACAGAGTTGTTCATAAATATACTTGTAGAAAAATTATTATTATTTTTTTAATCTCTAACCCTGAAGCTGTTCAATCTTCAGGTAACCCATTCGATCACCGCTAACAGTGAACTGTACCGGACCCTACCAAAGAGAAAATAAATAAGTAAGTGAACCCATGATGGAATACAACTATTCGCTGGACATGTAAGCGCCCTAGTTTGCACTTTACAGACTCTTATTTTCTGGTATTTTTATTCGATCGTTGAACGCGCGGATAGAATCGCGAGAGAACTGGAGGCCTGCTCAATACGGGAGACTTGACGGGGTTGGGAGTGGGGACCGACAAAAGTATTCTGTAATCTTCGTTTGGTTCGATCCACTCGCCTCTCCGCACCCACCCCCATGTGCTTCGCGCTTGCGCTCGCCTCCTTCACCTTTTTATTGGCACGAGTTGAGAAAATAGAGTTCGCTTTTTCTTTCGCGTGCGTTGAAAAGTAAGGAGGCTGCTGTGAACAGTCTAACTATTGGCCAGAGAAGTTACCTCTGTTCCTTGTTGTCTAACCTCAAGTGGTTCTGCTGTTTTACTGTTGCACTATTACTCTTACGAGCTAACATAACTTAACTTGTAAAGTATAAGGCAATAGGTTAAGAACAAAGAGCCTAAGATAGAGGCAAGGAGTAAGCAACACTTATCAGTCTTTTTTAAATGGGTTGTATCACAGACCCAATTGGTTCCCTTTGTTGATGATAATGAGCAAATCTCAACACCCTTCTTCAGAAAAAGCAACTTTGTCCCAAAACATAATTACCTATAGCTGAACGACGTTCTGCCAAACCAGTCGTTTGCACTATACAAAGTTATAAGTTTTGCCGGTTCAACCACCGTACATACGGACCCCTTCCCCGTCACATTAAGATGATTTGTCTCGCCTACTCACAGTAACGCCTGTAAAGTTCGTTTCCTCCAAAGACCTGTTAAAATATTCCATGACCTCCGTATTGGAGTAAGTGAAATTATCTATCGATAGCCATGATTTGGTTTCCCTTAGGTACTCTTCTGTCTTGTTTAGAGCCATTGCTAGTGCCCAAACTGCATCGTATGCGAATCCAGCATCAGTGTCTTGTAAAGATTTCCCAGTGACTTTCTCGTATCGAGCTCCAAACTCTGCTCGTGACTAAAAGCAACATGATGCGAATGAGTATGCAAGCAAATTTGACCAAAACCTCACTGAGTTATACGTTGTACAATCACACATTCTTGAGGAGTAGCGACACTTGAATCGACAATTTTCTAGTTTCCTTTTGCCTTTGTGTCAAAACGAGTCTTCGCGCAAAACCATGCATTCATATGCTGAAAATGTGTTATCCTTACAGGTTCATTTTTATACAAATCAAACTCATGTTCATATAAAAGGTTTCGCTCGAGGACTTGCTTTGAAAACAGAGGTGCGAGGTAACTCGGAAATGGCCTATTGCGGGATTTGCACAACAGACTATTTCCGGGCTGCCCATTGCTTTTGCGTGATGAAAACGAGTGTTCGAGCGAAACAATCCATGTAAAAATATGTTCCCCCTACAGATTCATTTTTATGCAAATCAAACTCATTTTCATATGAAAAATTTTCGCACAAGGACTCGTTTTGAAACAGAGGCACCAGGTAACTCGGAAATAACCTAACCCCCTTCTTATCAGTGAGTATATCGTAGAGACTATTGGTTACCTGTCCAGATACAGTAACAGTGTTATCAGGACTAATCTTGAGGTTATCACAGGCGATGTATCCCTTTACAGCTTTATTCATCTCGTCCTCAGTGCACGCTATTGATTCGTTCTTTAACCTTATCTTCCACCAGTTCTTATTAAACCAGCCTGGTATAAGCCAAGCATAGCGGGCGCCATACATGCCAGCGTGAAATGCCTGTAGAACGAAAAAAAGAGAACAGGCGAGAAAAACGTGGAAAAAAGTCGAATTGCGTGGGGTCATGAGGTGTGGAGAAGGAAGGAAGGGGTAAAAAATTATTTCTAAGCTTCAAAGCAGAACTACAATAGTTTGTCTTTTCAAGACCTCAGTTCTTCACTTTCACACGCCGTCACTCTACTGGCCACTGATATACTAAATCAGATGCCGAGTGTTCACACATGGATGTAATGTATTTAATTTTGAATTCAGTGCGACAATTTGTCTACTCGGCTGCTTAGATCAGTTATAGAGTAAGTCATGAAACGTATTAGTTTCTCCCGGTCCCGGTCTTGAATCGTCGCATTCATGGCTAGTTAAGACTTGAACTATACGTGCATCAAGGTTTTATTATTGTATATATTTACCTGGCAAAAAACTTTCCTTGCGTATCTCTCGTCAAAATTTCCAATTATTATCCTGGCTTCTTTCTCCTATTAATAAATTTAAACCAAAACAATTATTACTAACCGTACTCTTCAACTCATGTTGGCCATTATAATAATTAATTTTTTCTTTCTTTGAAAGAGTGTGAAGGTATGGCGGTATGAAAGGGTCGCGTGTGAGGCTCCAAACGTGAGCCCGCTTGTGACATGCAGTTACACTCAAAGGAGTGCGCACGAGCAGTATGTTACATCAAGCATACTTTGCTATAAGGTAAGTGGTAACTAACCTTTAAGCTCTTGACTTGGGCCGTGGGATCGTCGGCAAACGTCTCCGATGAGAGAATCTGAATATTTTCCTTTGCAAGTTCGTTATGCAAGTCGGCAGTAGTCTGCAGAAAAAAAAGGATTAAAAACGCAATTGCGATTTGTATATGAGCCTTGCAGGCGTGGATTCAGGGGCTCTGAGAGGGTAAAAATGGGAGGAGGAGGAGGAGGAGGAGGAGGAGGAGGAGGAGGAAGACGAAGAAGAGGAGCAGTAGAAAAAGGTTAAACTGAGAAGGAAGAGGAAGAGGAAGAGGGGGAGGACCAAGAGGAGGAGGACGAGGAGGACGAAGAAGAAGAAGAAGAAGAAGAAGAAGAAGAAGAAGAAGAAGAAGAAGAAGAAGAAGAAGAAGAAAAAGAAGAGGGAGCAAAAGAAGAATAACAAGAAGAACAAGAACAAGAACAAGAACAAGAAGAGGAGTAGAAAAAGTTCAGCCTGAGATTGAAGAGGAAGAGGAGGAGGAGGAGGAGGAGGAGGAGAAGGCATTGGTCTTACCTCAGAATCAATAATATCGCTATGTCCTATGAGTCCCACTTGCATCCAGTTGAATTTCTTTAGGAGGGCGACACGAGCTTTGTTACATGCCGCATCTGATGGTATTGTTCTAAAGAACAGGGGATATTTGTCTTTCTTCGTTAAAGTTGGGGATGTCGACCCGTACGATACCTGTGTGAGGAATACTTGATTTAAAAAAAAACATTGTTTTAAAAAAGGAATTATTTTGTTTAGTTTTTCTTATGTATATTGTGTTTGTAAATTAATAATATAAAAATTAAATATCATTTTTTAAAAGATCATGTGAAATAAAATATTGCGTGGAAACAAATTTAAGGGTTTCACCTAAACAAACATGAAATTTGCAATTTGTTAAGCTGGGAACTATTTTTGGCGGTTTAGTAAATACAGTATCACAGTGTCGAAATAGAGGTGTCAGGATGATGTTTTGCGGTGAAAACCTGCCAGTTATCATGGCGCCAAACTGTAAACGTTTTCCACATTAAGAACTTAGAACTGTAAATAAGGAATTTAGTAGAAACAGAGACCCATATATAAGCTTCTGATAATGAGTCATACCTAGCTCATAGTTTCTCTGCTCAATTCTAAAATTAGTGGAAATGTCTTTTAAAGATAACTAGATATTATTTTCGCTCACTGCTATTAACTTTGCACGGATGTTGTAACTTGACTCAACGCCGTATTCCGGTTTGAATGCCGCATTAATGGATCTGAAGATTGTCTCAAGGACATGTGGTATCCTAGATACACAGGAAGCTCGCAGGCACCAAGCTTGAAACCTGATCAAACCACTCATGATTTCCACGAAGAATACCTTTCACGCATTGAATCTGGGGGACTTAAAATTGAATTTGGACTCTTAAACACTTAAGGAAGCTATGAGAGCACTCGAGACTATCATAAATCTGTTAAATGAAAGATATATGGCTACATATCTCTCCAAAACCTTTTTTTAATTTGCAGTCTCAGTTAATTTGCTTTACATCTTGTTCACGGGGGAAAATCACAGGAGAAAATTGCAATTAGCATTCATTCACTCTCGCTTAAATGGCAGTACCGAAAATTCATTTGTGCACCACATTTGCATGCCTTGTTGAGATTGAATGAGGACGATATTAAAGATATTTAGACATGAAAAGCAAATTATTAGAAAACACTGTGATTTACATGGCTTTGCAGATGTGCGCTGTTTCCTCTGAAACAACAATTCAAAAGAAGACTGAAATTACCTAAATTTGTTTTCATCGCCGGAGTAAAATGGGTTTTTACGACTTGTAACACAACATGGTGGCATGAACTAATTGAAACTAATTGAATCTTTTTTTCCAACCCCGAGGCATTAGATTTTCGGATTGAGTAATCTTCAGGAGTAAACCTGGAGCGGTCGTCTTTTTCTTTCGATGTTAGAGAGCTTGAACAAAGCACGACGGCGACGGCAACGAGAACGTCACCAAACAAAAGATTTGATGGGCAGGACAATGGCTGTGCACGTGCTTTATAAATCTTGGTACATTTCTTTTTTGTCCTCTGCAGAACAACGACGCGAAATGACTAGTACGTTCTGCGTATTTTGGAAAACGCAAACAATGGCGGCTTATTTTTCGTATTTCAATTTAGCTTGAGCAAGTTCTGAGGCCAGCAGGCGCACTGAACAGATGTAGCAGGGTGTGTAGACAACTGCGAAATATCGAAGGTAAAACATAAATTCATAGTTTACTAGGAGTTGTCCTCGGAGTCGCCGTCGTCATTGCTTAAGCTCTCTTTTATTTGATGCGAGAAGTATCAGAGACAGGTGAAGCTATATGTATAAGACATTGCAAATTATACCACTTGTCACATAACTGAAATGAAATACAGCACTACTGGAAGCCTAAAGCAATAAAATATGAAGCAAATAAGGCTGTACGTTTACAATCCATAGCTTTTTTCACACACAAAAAAAATTGCTCAATCTGACTAACAAACATTGGTTACTTTATTTCGTTAATACAATGCTTCAGCAAAATAAACGTACGTGGTACGTTGTAAAATATAAAAGAAACAGTCTCTTTTCGCTGAATTTGCAAAACAACGTCGTTAAACGATTCTTTGATGCTAATCACATGTTTGCCTTACAACAGAGAGATCGTTTTACAATTTTTCTTCTCTTCAATCACGCTTTTTGTTTTTACAAATTTTTAGCCAGTGACGGTTAGGGAAGTGTCTAGACAATACAAAGGATACAGTCAATACATAGAGTTGCTGTTCATGCTTTTGAGAAAAGAACCATCAGTTCTCGTTACGTCAAAAACCGCTAATTTAAATATCCTGCAACAAAGACTTTATACAAAGAATTCCGGTCAGGAAAGGGGTTTGGTCCACCGACGGTTTTAATTAATAACCAGTATTTCAGGCTCTCAACAGAGTATAGAATATAAATGTAGACAATGTAGTGTTACACTGCTTGGATTGATTCGCGAGTTTGTGTGACTGAGTACGATGTGGGGTTTATTTCAAATGCAGAGTTAAGCGCGGTTTGCTGTCAGAAGGTGATTTGTCAATGCAGTTAAAATTAAGTAATTTATATGTGAAGCAAGGTTTGTAAAGAGCTTTCACTTATTGACAATGTTCTGTGGTATGTTGAAATAGAGCTCAGAGTGATTAAACATAATTTCCACTTGTAAGTGCGATTGCCTACCAAACTTGAGTTAAAATGCAATTTGAAGAATAAAGGTTCCTTTTACCATGTTTAGTTTTTATCATTTTGAACGAAGGCACATTGTCAACATTTTGCGACCTGAAGCACAAGTTCGAGCATATTTTGTAAAATATTTATTTTCACTCTACACCGACACACTAAGTCATTAGATTATCTTTTCTGTCTACCTGTTTTTGCAAAGCTAATTCAACTGATGGCATTCAGTTCAATTAAACTGACCTAGAGGGCAACGAAAGGCTACTGTGAAAACAAAGTCAAAGTGTTCGGCAACCTTGGAAGGCTTTTCAAAGCAGCTTAATGGGTATTAGTATGTCAGAATAATGAACAAAAGCATAAGAAAGTGTACTCCTAAAATTCCGTGTGTGTAATGTTTGCCCCCGGCCACAAATAACCAGGACTGCTTCAAGACATTAAAAGTTGTTACGTACACGGCAACGTTATTCACAAACGATGTGTTGAAATTTAACTTAAAAAAATAAATACTCTTTATGAGTTAATCCCTGAAGTCACACAAGGACATTACATAGCCTACTCAGTTTAATAAAATAAGACGTAACGTATATCTACTTATCTGCATTTAATACGCAAGAGCAGGAGCAGGAGTCCAGTAAATGCGTAAATAATTCTATGACCTCCTGTTCTGATACTGCCCCCGCAAGTTCGGTAGAAGCTAGCTGAAGCTGACAGTGTGATCTATCAAGATCATTTGTTGGCCAAAGACAGCCAGACATCAATATTTATCAGAATCTATGACATATAAAAACAGACATGTTTTAAGTCTGGTCAACCAAAAGTGAAACCGTTTGTGCTGAACATTCAATTATCAATTCAGGAATGCGATAATTCATCGTTTCGTGTAAACCACACTTCCTTTACATGTCTCGTCTCGTCAAGAGATTAAATCTCGTTATCTGACTTGTATCATGTATTCAGTCGCGACATTATTATCACAGGAAAGAAGTTTCGAATTATTTGAAGACTGCAGTTAGGTTAACTGTCAATTAAATTTCGATCACGTTGTGTTTATGTCTGTCGTACTGCCATTTCAATCTCTAACCCTGTCGACGCTGTGGGCCCGGTCTGAGCGCGAACACGGTTCGACTGGCGTGAAAACGCCACTCGACCGTACGACACCTCGCGAAGACTCGATCTGATTTGGCTACTTCGAAGCACGTAAATCATTGGGTCGAAAACAGGCGTCATTAAGGCGGCCAAATCTGAGAGAGGGTACAGCAAATGATAGAAATAATTTTCATCCACCTTGCCTGTTTGATAGACCGCTGCAATGACAAGGGTTGGAAGAAAACAAAGAACGACAGCCCCTGCCAAGTAAGCCACTGTTCTTGAAGATTTCGTCTCTTGGATGTCCTCGGCATTTCGAGGAGCTGTTGGCCCATGACCTATCGACGCGCGTACCCGCCGCGTTAGAAAGCAAACTTTGCAGTAAACAAATAAAGTTAGCAAAATGCAGGGAATTAACAGTACTGCCGCTATAATGCTGTACAGACCCACACTAGCGCCCGGAGAGAACCGTGCGAGTGTTATAAACGAGATCCATATAACCCAGATAAGAGAAATTGTGAGAGCAATTCGCCGCTTTGTCACATAGGCTTGGTATCTGAAGGGATGGAATATGGCCAGATATCTCTCCATTGTGATTAGAATAATCGTGATCGCGGACAGACCTGTAAAGATGAAGTTAGTGAACGTGTACATGACCAAGGCGACGCAGGAGAAGTCATGTTGGGGTGTAGTCAGCTTGCTTCCTTGATACACCACGAACGAAGGTAGTGTTATCAGCCCCGTTAAAAGGTCAGATGTGGCGAGGAATAATATTGAAGTGTTGTATACGTTACGAAGATCGGGTTTTCTCAGAACGCCCAGAAAAACCATCAAGTTTGCCACGATAGCACAGGGACATGCTAATCCGATGAATACACAAGTAAATACGGTCACAATACTAGTTTTGACGTCCGGTCTATAAGGAACAGTATTCACCGGCAATGGAAGATCTTGGCAACTTGTAAGACTGACGTTTGTCATGGCCATTAATCCCAGTTGTGATGCCCTGGTTTTCCTCAGTCGCTCAGCTGCTTTAACTGAATCTTGTTCAAAACGTTACTCCGTTGATGTTCGTATCGCAAACAAAGCTCAATGAGTTTTGCTGACTAAGTGACAGTGTTGCTTGACGATGGAATAAATTGACAGGAGAACAAATCACTTTCGACAGTTCATAAATGGCAACTTCGAAACTGGCAACTTATTTGCTTAGTTGACCTTTTTATACCACTCGGAGATAACAGTTTCCGCGAATTTGGCCTGTACTCATTTCCGTCTTGCACTGAACTGAGCACGCGAGAACGGAAAGCCGTGTAAGGTTAAATAGCGCTCGGGCAGTTAGTAACACAATCCAATCTAAAACATTCTGCACGGGCAAATAAAACTCAAAGATAAAATTTGATTGCTTTTTTCTGTGTACTTTTTGCGACGTTTGACTGTTTTTATATAAACATGAATTTTCCCAACCTTGCCGTATATTTGGTTAGCTATTCACATAAGAGTTAGCTGGAAATATTTATTTTTTTGGTCAAGCTACAAAAACTTTGGATGAGGATAAAATAGCCATTAAAGCAGTAAACGGTTCTTTTGTAATTCGCTCAACACAACGTATTTTTTCGTATTTTGGTGAGGCTGATTGTTTTAAAAACTCGGACATTGTTTTTCAATCAAATGAGGTTCAAGACAAATTACTTTCTGTACTGAAAAGTCAACTTAATAAAAAAACAAGATTTTTCGTTTCATCGACTGAGAGCAGAACAGAACAGACTAGTGAAATATGCAATGGCTTTTAAACCTGCATTTTTATAAAGCCTCAAAAGATAAAATCTACAGAATTCTTATTACAAAAATGGTCGTGTAGATGAGATTGACGATATTTTATCGCTTATTCACAGAACGAAGAGATATTGCAATTATGTTCTCGGGCTTTGTTCGACTTGTTTACCCGTCATAAAGTAAAACACCAAACTAAAAGATATCACAGAAAGCTGTTTTCTTGCTTGATACTTCGTTCATTTGTTAATTATTTTTCCTAGAACGAAGCATTGCTTTAAATGCAGTATTTGGTTACTCATCACTTCGCAAAGCGAAACTTATGGCCAAACTGTGTCATCGGCACTCCATGTAAGCGTATGCAAATTACCCAACAATTGCCAGCGTGAATTATTGTGGGAACTCGAAACTAAACCAACACCCTAAGGCAATGTAAATCACAATCGTGCATCACAAAGGAGTTATTAAGTTGTGTCGATTACCCGTGGCTTGCATTTAAGGATATTAAATGTCAACAACGAAATGGCAAAAACAAATCTTGCTTGGAAAAACATTTTACATGCAAATTCTAGTTGCGTTTAGTACAGGTGCTAGTCTGCGAGCAGAGTCTCCTTCGATCTTCCAAGAAAATTAGGAAGATCAATCAAGACTTTGCTTGCAGAGTAGCTAGACAGGTGCGAAAGTTCGATCCGAAAGTTAAATGCAAGATTTGCTCGTGCTCGGACTGACAAGCCGTAAGAGGGGTTTTGTAAGGGAGCGCGAATAAAATTAATCTGATGTAGTGACTTGTTTATAACATGAAAAAAATCAAGACATCGGATCTCTTTGGCAATCTTTGGGCAGCTGCTGTTGAAAACAATTGACGGGAGGTTAATTCTGCTCACAAATCTTCGGGAAAACTTCGAGTCATTTTCGGGAACCTTCGATCTGATCTCTTTCCGGCAATCATATAGTTCTACAGAAATGACTCTTATTGAGTAGCAAAAACCATCTAACCAAAAAAACTCTTGACATGCCGCTAAACCAATCAGAGCTGACTAAAGTTTTCACTCTGCGTTTTGTTGCTGCGTAGCGAAACGAGGCAGCCCGTAGGTCTGTCTCGTTTTCATGTCTCACTAGATATGGAAACGAGATTACACGAGTTTGCATTATCACAAGAGTTTTTTTGGAATTTTTATCAGAAGGTTGACTTATAGCTACGATGTTTGTCTTTTTCACTTCGAATACTCTTACCGCGACTTCGAAAGACGGCTGTAAAAAATTATTTATCGAAACGTAAGACAAGTTCTGAAGTGAAGAGCTGCGAGCCGGCTGAGTACTGAAGTTCGAAACTACTTGACGAACGCTAGAAAGATAAAACGCTCCACATGATTCACGGCCAGGAAAACTCTGCGGTCTGGTCAATGTTTGCTAAGAGTTACAGCTGTGACGTTTTCAATTTCTCTTCGGATACTATTCCAACAAAAGCTACAGATGAACTTCTAAAGAGCTTCGACTGCTGCCGTGAGTACCGAGGTTCGAAATACTCAACAAAAGCTCCACGTTATTTTTTTAAAGAAAGGAAACGGTAAGGAGAACTCTGCGTTTTGGTCAATGGTTTTCTAAAATAAGAAAAAGTAAACAACAAAAATTGAAAAAAAAAAAAAAAAACTAAATTCTAAAGGGAAAAAAGGAGAAAATAAAAATAATTATCCGGCCCTTCAGAGCTCGAACTAAGAACTAATTGTGATTACATTGCGCCACATCCACGGTTATGTGACATTAAACTAAATGTTCTCCATACTGCTACGTAGCATTCGCTTTCTAATTACTAGTTCCATTTAATTCATTATAGTTTCTTCGTTTTATACTGTCATACGCTGGTTTTTGCAGGAACTGATGAGGCTATCCCGCCCGTTCGAGATTGCCCACTCAGTGATCCGATCCCGTGAGAAAAATGGTAACCCTGAGGCCACATAGGAAGTCATGATTATTGACCAAGCATTTCTTTTCAGTTACTTGTATATTGGCCTCGTTTTCCTGCGTGACCTTGGACCGAAACGCAGACACGGGTTCCATTAAAAGGCACAAACAGCGACTTCATGTACCCATACAGTGACTTCATGTACCCATACAGCGACTTCATGTACCCATACAGTGACTTCATGTACCCATACAGTGAATTCTGCTAAAGCTTCCGCTGTGGACCCTCTGAGGCTGAGCACCCTAAGAGGTACTAAACCTGCTTTTTTAACCTCTAAAAGGTACGACAAGCACCCCCGTCCTGTGGAAGTTCCCCAGGACAGCAGTTGTAAATATCGAAGCATCAAAAGTTAAGTTGCTACCTTTTTGGCTGCCGAAACAACCTGGAAGTGCTATTTACAAATAGCACTATTATGGTTGATCATCGCCGATCCCTGATAGAAATTTGTTGCCGTGTTCAGGGCCAACCGCCATATTGGTGTTTTTTTTCGCCGGTCAAGACACTTCAATGTCTTAAAAATGTCATTGCAATAGTTGCTAATGTGAGTCTACTCACCATGAAAAGATTCCACGTCTTGGCCACTTCTGCTATCCTCTCCGACACTAAAGAGCAGCCCGCCCCTAGTAGAGCTATCTTGTTTGGTTCTTTGTTCATCATTTCAAAGAGAACACGCGATGCATGGTCTGCTCTACACTACAAAAACAACAACAAAACATTTTTGGGTCACGTTTCCGTTGGTTTCTAGTTTCCAGGATACATAATGCCGTAACAATTAACAGAAGTCTATGTTATCGGCATCACTCCGCAGTAATACTGATGTCCGCTGTACATTCAACTCAATGTAAAGTGGCTATAGAGTGAACTAAAGAACTCAAAACTTACATATCTTGTAAGGTCAGTGCCCGGGAGGTACTCCCAGAAAAGTTGGGTGGGGCTGTGCGGCCTACTTCCCAAAACACTTACAATAATCATGATCAAATCTGCGATTTTTGCTACCGTATTTATGACCTGGCCAAAAATTCGATGCCCTATTTATGACTGTTGCGGCTGGCACAGTTGCCCTAAACATGATGAAGGGCTTTTGTTGACTGTCTTTTTGATAATGATGAAAAAGTAGCTTCTTCTAAGAAACATACACAATTCAAGGCTAGAGTGCTAAAACCATACCCTATTTAAGATCACCAAATGGCCAAAATCGATACCCTATTTATGACTAAAACGGTTGAAAAACCATACCCTTTGGGACCGCACATACCTATATAGCCCATATAAGGGAGTAGGCCGTCGGGGGAGGGGGCGGGGGAGGGGGGGGGCAGAGTTAAGTTAATCTTATAGCTAGCCTTGATGTACTGATCGACGCTGAAAGGTTACAAGACTGCACCAAATTGAAACAACAGTGTATGTTTAAGTTGCTTCCAAGCAAAAACGTGGCGAGGGGTCGGGCATGCGTCGAACTATCATTTCAATTCTTGGATGTAGTAAAGAAACCTCCGTTACTCTGGATCTTCGAGAAGTTTACATTTCGAAAGAAATCACTTACATTTCCTTTCTGTTTCAATCATATAACTCCTGTGGTCAGATAACGAATGTTGGGGCGGTTTCAAGGGGTGCGTATGGAAGACCGTAAAAATATTTTCCAATATTAGGATTGCACTGTAACAAAATCATCAATTTTCCACAGCTGTTGTTATAAGAATGTATGCAGGAGTAAGAGAAATTTATATCGATTAATATCTTCTTGCTGACTCTTATGTGATGACTGGATATATTGTTACATGTTTGTATACTTTGTAACTCAAATTACTGCTCTGTTTGCTTTTTGTCTTGAACGGCGTTCTCTAAACTTTCTTTTATAATAACTACGCATGATAACACGACATTTCTTTGATTTACACCAAGGTTTATAATCCCTAAGGTTACAATAAGTCTTAATTGTTATTTCCTTAACGATCTTGTCTTACTTGCACTTCTAAGGTATCTGCAATTTGCCTCTTACCTGAGTGTCATTTACATGAAGTTGCAGCCGATATCCCGGCAAAACAGCTTTCTTTTCCACGTCTTCTATAGCCATAGAAACTGCTAGCTGTATTAGTTCACCTTTCATAGAAGACTGCCTGCCAGTGCTAAGTCCAGTGAACGGGTAAAGACCTCCAATATATAACGATTGAAACGCCAGAGTTTTAACTTGGAATCGAAACATGTTTGCAACTACGAGATATAGGAATGCGTCAAAAATACTCCTCATAACGATTTCTTTGTTGAATCAAATCTTTTGTATGAAGATGATGATTGCCAACAAGGCTTAAAATGGCCCCCTTAAACGGTCGTTGTGTTGTAGGGTTGTATCAACTTTAAACTTGCATATGGCAGTTGCCAATCAGAAGCTAAACTTTACCTTTGCTTCGTTTCAACTGTTTACATTTATTAGCCCGCAGAATATAATTAGCTGATCTTTGGTCGTTAATGTTTCTTTAACATGCTAATGCGATTGATATGTTTACTTGTGACAAGATGACGCGCCGTATATACAGTATTAAATGGAACTGTATATGCCAAATACCCAAAAGGCTAGCCTCATGCAGACCCCGTCCACACTACACCGGAGGAATTTGAAAATGCAGCTTTATTTGTATGGTTTAGGCCTACCGTCCACACATATCCGACACGAAAACGGAGCTTTTCGAAAACGCTCTCCAAACTGGAGGAACTGATTTGAAAACAACAGCTTTGCGTTTTAATGTGGACGGAAAACATTTTGAAAACGAAGCTTTTCGAAAACGATGACATCGCGATAATAATATGGTTTCTCTAAGCAAGTTTTCCTCAAACACAAAACCAGAATGACCGGTTATCGTTGCGGTTTTAAGTTCCGCCGGGAAGAGTTGACGGAAACATTTGATGCGTTTTCAGAGTGACGTATTCGCTTTCAAATTCCTCCGTCGTAGTGTGTACGGGGCCGCAGCTGACACGGATTAGTTCGTGCTCAATTTGCAAGATTGCATTTTTGAATATTTGTCCGAGGCTCTCAATTAATAAGAACGTCGTGCACGCGTTGATATATATAAAAGAATGTAAGTCAAGTACTTATTAAGATTTGAGAACATTGATAAGTGCACAACTGTGGCGATATTTTGGGGTAGTTAACACGTAGTAACCTGAAATGAAATTGGATGGTGCACACAAAAGGAATAAAAGACGAGAACGAAAGCAAAAATACATTTATTTATTCATTTATTTATTTATTTATTATTCATCTATTTATCTATTTATTTATTTATTTATTTCTGTCTTTTATGACGAAGCTGCTGAAAACAGATGCGAGTAAAATTGTTTAGAACTTGGCTAACAAAAGCCTAGTGTCGAAAATGGTTACTGAGAAACTTTTTAGTTATATATCTATGGAATGATACTCATTATGTACCAACGAGCAATAATTAAAAAGAACACGACAGTTGCTTTAACGCAGCGGAAAAGGTGCTGCGAACATCCTTGAAACTTACAACATTATATGCTAAGATTTAAGACTCTAATATTTAGCAAATTACAAAATTAAATTATCTAAAACTAAATTTAGATTGCAAACTGAAGATAAAATATGAATATAATGGGGATTACCAGAACATTTTGCAAGTTGCTTTCGCTAACGGTATAAATATACAGACTGAGCCCGGGTTGGGGGGAGGTACTTCCCGCAAAGTTTTCAAACCTACGTTATAATTAGTTCCCTAGTTCAGACCGGTGTTAAAGACATTGTGAAGGGCTTTTGTTAATGGTCTTATCGATAATAATGAAAAAGTAGCTTCTTCTGAAAAACCTACTCACTATTTAAGAATAAAGTGCAAAAACCATAACCTATTTGAGACCAAAATGGCCAAAATCGATACCCTATTTCTGACCAAAACGGCTAAAAAACCATACCCTTTAGGGCCGCACATACCTATATAACCCTATATAGCCATATAAGGGAGTACCTCCCCGGGCCTAAACTATACAGTTGACGCTCTCGTATGCGACCATCCCGAGGATTTGGAAGGAGTAATCGTAACTGGGTGATTTTGAATGTTAATACATATACAAATGTTATTCTTGAACGTTCCTTACGCGCCAATGAAGATCATTTTGGTGTTCATGAGAGTATATTGACCATAATGAAACAAATTTGGACACAAATGAACGGATATTTTCTGTAAATGAACAGCGAAAGGTGTACTATACCTCAAAGCGACCACCTGTGAAAAGTCAGTACAAGTTGGTCTGATAATCTGGTACCTATATAAGAGAACACGGTATTTTGGTGCAGTGCTACAGATTCATATTGCCCTCATAGTCCCCCTGAACAGGTGCATGTTCATCTCCGTACTCAAATTTTTTAATGCAGTTCTGAATAATTGCAACCAGTGTTTTGCAGGGACTCCCTTATCGAGAACAAGTTCGTTAATCTCAGAGGAGGTCACGATTGTTTACCGCGGAATGGTCGCTGGCGGGAGCTTTAAATTAAGCAAAGTAAACAGGGTTTCGTAAGGGTCACGTGCTCTTAACTAGAACTGCTCGCTAACAACAGAACTTCAAGCAGAACGTAAGAAGAACTTCAATGTATGTGGGTATTGTGTTAAGCTGTTTTCAAGACTGAATTATTTCGAACTGCGTTAAATCGATAGTCACTAGAAGATGGCTTCGTCCCTGACTTTGTCTCTCACTGCATTGTCAACATTGACATAGGTGGCGTCTGTAAACGACTGAAGGTTTATATAACCCTGAAATGGATAGAAATAGTACAATAGGTATTGAAATTCTTTTTGGTTTGAAAACAACCCGCTCTTTCAGTTCGACGGAATACATTTCAGCAAAAATTACACACACATGCATGTGTTTGCACTAGCTATGTACTCGACTATAAAGAGACTCCATTTATAGAATCCCATGGAATCCCCGAAACTTTTATACTCCGAAATAACAAAAATAACAAATAACAACGTTGCTATAATAACACGATTTAAATTTCGCAGGAGATGTCACTAAGAAACTAGCCAGTCACTAAGAGACTGTCTGAAGGCTGTCAACAGTAAAGAACCATTTTACATTTTAAAAGTCAAATTTTAGTTAACTGTTCTGGAATAAAGTTATACAGATTTCCACCATACCGTTTGCTGCCTTTCCAGTTTTTCCAGTGTTTCTTGCAAAGCCTTGAAAGTGGGTCTCTTTAGAGGATCTTCGTTCCAGCATGACGAGATAACTGCATGCCTGCAACAAGGAAATGAGACAAACAGCGTTCAGTTGCACACTCACCCTCTTTTACTTTAACAGTCATCTAAAAATGCCGTGGAATGAATTGAATAGAGCGTATGTGTGATGAGTTTGTTTTCACTAGCGCATAATCGTAAGCTTAAGCAATATGGGTAGACACTAGTAATTAAAGGCGTTGCGCCGGTTTTGCTATAGGCGAATCTTTGCTGACGTCATTGTTTACATTTTTCCTCATTAGCATACGACTTGACTGGTAGAAGCCGTGGCCGTATATATGAACTAAATGCAAAAGTTGAAAAAGGTGATTAAGTTGAGCAATTTGTGCAATTTTCAGCTCTTTGCTAGCACTATCGAAGGAAATATCAGCCATCAAAAATTGCAAAATTGCTGTGTGGCAAAAAAGTTAGTGAGCCACACATTTCTCTGTAAAATTTCGAGTTTTTAGAAGAGAATTTCTCCGAAACTATTCCGTGTATTGGGCTCAAATTTTCAGAGATAACTGAAACTGTTATGCCCTTTCAATATTCAGAGTTTTTCTTTCATTAGCGTCATCAGATAGCGATAAGCATATGTTAATGAGGCAAAAAATGTAAACAAAGATTCGCCTATATAAAAAAGTTTCCTAACCAAGGTTCTAACTATCAATATCTTACCGCTACTGCGTATGTTATTTATGGTTAGAGCGGTTTTCATATGATCATGAGTGTCGCAAAGCAATTGGTTTTGCATTAACTACGCTACACGATTGGCTTAAAATACTCCCGCCACTTTTTCGTCTAACCAGAGGTAAAAGCAAAACCAATCGTGACTCACTCGCACGGTTTATCCCGCGCTTTGTGTCAACTTCATGTAATTAGTTCGAGTTTTGATTGGTTCGCTGTATTGCCTATGTCCTTTGTGATTGGCTAGAGTGATTACTTTGGTTTTGGTTCTACAGCATTCAATTGAAAACAGCTCTATGCTTATGCACTATAATGAAACCAGTCTCAATTAACGTTATTAACCTTGAAGCCAGTGTTATCTGAATATAATATTTTGATGGTTTCAAGAGTTTTTAGATTTGTAGGGCAAAACAATTGCTGGATGGTTATTAGCTATGTACTTACAGCTCCTTATCGACGTGTTTTGGACGTCGCATTCTGAATCCTTTTCCAAGTAAATAAACAACGTCGCGTGTTTTAATCCCCGCATATGGTTCACCACCTTAAAGAAAAGCACAAATTTTCTCCAAAACGTTCGTTTTCGCCATAAATCGGTCCAATTGACCATTCTTAGCCTCTAACGAGCAAAATTTGGCTCGATGAAGGAATTCATACATTTTTGGTTAACAGGAAAACGCGAAAACAAAGTTGTTAGTGTGCTAAACGTAAAATGTGAAATTAAAACCCACGGGTTGCTCGAGAACCTTGTCTGTAAGACTGCTGGCAGCCTGTTTTTCTCTCGAAATTCAGCAGGGGTTATGGGGAATGACGTTTTAGCGTAAAAGAGAATGGGACGAGACATGGGCACGTCTCGCCTTCTTCCCCACTCGGCCATCGCCATACTGCCCTTTTGCGTTCGTGATGACTCAACACTCGTCTGAGTGACCCTAAGAGAAAAAACCGGCTGCCAGCAGACTACTTGTCTATNCACTCACACGTCGCTTTGAGTTGTGAAGACGCCATACAGAAGTGCCTCATACGCTGTCCACTTTGCTGGCACCCGACCCTCAGGAGAGAAAGAAACAAACATTTACTGTAGAACTCTGCAGCAGAACGCAAACTCATGGCACTCGGTTTCGTTTGTCCGGTCCGAAGGATCAACTTGTCTCACATTCAGGTTAGAAACACCGGGGGCAGGATAGAAGAAAGAACATTATCTTCAGGTTTACTTGCACACATTTTTCTTTCTGGGTGGAGGCACTGTGAAAGTAAGGTGTCTTCTAAGAACACAACGCAATGTACCAGGCCAGGGCTCGAATCCGGACCGCTCGATCTGGAGACGAGCACACTAACCATGATGGCATTGCGCCTCCACGATTTTAAATACCCACGTGTTACAAGAAGTCTAATTCGTAGACGCCTTTAAACATCTATTGACATTTACACTCAGTTGGAAGTTAACCGGCAAACAAAATAATTTTAAATCTTACTTACCCCAGCTCTCATTGTATACATGTCATTTTCGTGCACTTCTCTGGCCAGGCCAAAATCTGTAATTTTACAAACATTTCCAGCTGCTACCAACACATTGCGTGCAGCCAAATCACGGTGGATCACCTTAGAATTCATAAACAAAAAGAAAAAATCACTTTATTGAGGTGTCGAAATGTTTAGCACTGCTGTACTAGTTGGGGACAATGAAAGAGGCAAACAAATATTGTAAATTGAACAGAAACTTGTTCAAAATCCTAATTGGAGGCAGGCTGACCATTTGGTAATTTACAAAGCGTGAAGGAGTTGAAGCTGGGATCATCAAACACAAATCCATCTTGTGGCAGGGAGGAGGGTTTGATCTCGGAACATCTGGATCGCAATTCCACGCGCCCTAACGATATAGGAATGGCTAATGTGGAAATAGATAGAGACAAGATCTGGTGGAACTCATTCACCCTCTTGTCGGCGAACGATGAAATTTAGATGCGATTTCCCCTCATTTTGTCCTATGTAATTTTCTTTCGCTCTCTTTACCTTATTTTCGGCGAGAAAATTCATTCCATCAGCAATCTGCCAGGCGAACATTATCATCTTCTTTGCCGTAACTCTGGTGAGCTTGCCAGTTGTCTTGTAATATGTGTCAGGGAGACCTCGGCTTTTTAGTAGATAACCAAGCAGATCACCATGACAAGCAAACTCCACAATTACCAGGAGATTAGCTGTCATAACGGAGAGAAACACATTGTGTAGTTCCAGTAAATATCTATACCTCACCCACGGAAGGGATTTTTTCTAAGACCCCTAGCACCACCCCTCTGGAAATTCCAATTAAGTTTCACACATTTCTTAAAATGTTTTGGTCTTACTGATCCCCCCCACCACCAGGGCTGTTTCTGGAACTGCACATTTGAATCGGGTTTGTTTTCAAAATGCTAGTTATCTCTTCAAGTAAATACGCTGCTTATCGACACCATGCACCTCACAATGCTTGACTACTGCAATATACGAGTTATTGACCAAGCGAGAGGTCTTAGATGTCTTAGATGGCCGGATCAGTTGCTAATTTCTTGTTTTGTGTGTTCACGGCCCTCGACTGCGTCTCCAGATCTTTAAATACGCAATAAACAGAGCGAGCCTAATATTCAGCCGTTTTGACCGAATAGACTTGGTCGGCAAATGATTTATCAACGGAGGTTAAATACATCATTGTTCTTGTGGGACAAAACGGGACATTTTAATTTTTTAATTTTAATTTTTTTAATCACTGGATGAAATACCTGATGTAGTGACGCAGCCTAGAAGCCTGACCACGTGTCGATGCGGAGGTAGCTTTTTCATGATTGACAGTTCTGACAGAAGGTCATGTCGATCGGATTCTGAAGCGTGTTCTAAAAGGAGAGGATAAATCAGACAACAGCCTACTGTATCGACAAGCTTATTGAAACTTTAGCATTGTAGGGACTTAAATGGATAGTTTCATTACAAATTTAACCCCACGCTTATAATCTGAAGTAGTGTAATTTATTCATTTCAATTAATGATCCTCTTTTCTTTCTAGAAGAGGCTCTTTTCCTGGTGTTCGCTGACGGGAGAAAAGCGAACACCAGGAAAAGAGCCTCTGCTAGCAAGGAACGATCCTCTGTTTTTAATAAAACTTTTTTTGTGGTAGAAACAATCTGGTTCTTTTGTGTGGCTACCAAATTATACACGATTTTAAAGGAGTGATGTCGTCCTTACTGTGAGGGTTACTCCAGGTATTCCAGTTTTCCCGCTTCCATTAATACCAACATTCCTAAATTTCCAATTCGATCGCTACCCTCGCTAAATACACCTTGACAAAGTCCATTATCCTCTCATCAGAAAACGTTTCATCGCTCACAAACCTTTGAGCATTTTAATTGCCACCATTGTCCAGCCAACATTACCAGCAATCTCAAAAGCAAGTCCTTTGACAACTTGTCCGAATGCTCCCTGGCCAAACACCTCACGGACCTGAAGTCTTTGTTTTGGAAACTCCCAAGAGTGTGACCGAAGGGCCCTGGGCGATAGTGGTGGTGCAGGCTCAGTTTCTTTGAGGGAATTAGAATCTGTGGACTTGCTGTTGTCATTTCCGGTGCACTATTTGTTGAAGAACAAAACAATGTAACGTGAAATAATATTCTCGTAGATAATTTTTAATCTTCTCTCTGCTTGATATTGCGCAGATAGACTAAAACACTCAATTAAAACCTTTACCTTAATAGCTCTGAACATCCTGACCTCTTCCTGTGGTGATTTATACGTCACTACAACTTCTTTTGGCCTTTATAAAAATTTTAATAACCAGTTAAAATGCTGCTCAAAAAGTAATTTACAGAAGGTTTTCGGTTAGCATTATACAACAAAGCAATGAAAAAGTTTACAAGAGCGCCTGCCAAAGTGCCTTCAAGTTATATACTTAACAATTATTTTAGACTAACATAAACTTACTTTCCTCGACGTTTTCTCCCTGTGGAATAGCAACAAGAGGAAGGTATAAATTTCCTAAAAAATACCTTGGACTCATAATTAACTACTTGCAAGAGGTTATTTTCTCAGATTGTTGTTAATACCCCATCATACCTAGAGAAAAAAATCAGGGATGAGAAATTTAGAGAAGAGTCGAGT